ACCACGTATAGTTCGTAAAAAATGAATTCAGTTTAATTATTTGTTCACAACATATCTTTTTTAGAAGCTAATATAGCTATTTATCTATCGTAGGAATATACATTAATTGTTGGTTTGTAATTGAGTATATTTATTCAACTGTAATTTGTTTGAGATTAAAAAGAATTTTCCTATCTTGCATAAAAAAAAAAAAAAAAAAATTCCTAAGACTAGCAACATTGTAAAAAAAAAAAAGAATTGAACCGCTATGACGTAGGGCATGTCCTGTTTTGTCTATTTAAGTGGGTGGTAATAAGTTCTGGGCACATTGACTCTTTGTTCTTTAACAGGTTGAGAAAGTATGTATGAATAAAAAAAATGGATATTTTGTGGTACAAATATATGTGGGGTCCACTTTCAATTTGAGTTAGGTCAAAGTGGATTTGGGTTCTTCGTAGGGATAATGGATGAATGAGAAATTGATTTTCAAAATAGACCCATTTGAGTTGAAAATGGAGTTGGGAAGGCTTGTAAGTAGCATTTGTCCTACATTGGGTTGAAAAGTGGATTTGCATGCACCACTATATATACAACATCCCTTTAGAAAGAGTTTAAATTGTATAGAATAGATGACTAGAGGCTATATCTTGTACCCCGGTGTTTGGTACACGGGGTTTTATGCTGAATTTGAGAACTCCTACAATCATTGTTTTCTCTGATCCTCCCTCGTAAAATAATTTCTTATGAAATTTTCTACCAAACACATATAAATAGTCGAAGTGCTCAGTCTGTTGTTTTAGTTAGCCAGACTTTTTATTTGAGTGCTCAAACACTAAGTCGTATTCCATTTTATAATGGGAGACTGACGCTACAACGCTCCTAACACCCTTGGGAGATAGCGAATATGTTTTAATTAAGAAAAATGTGAGTACACACAACTTGAAAAATAGTACAAGATTGTATATGTAAATGTGTATAGGAGGAGCAGAAAATGGTCTCTCAATTTGGCTCTTTTATTGAATCTTTAGAGAATATAATGTGTAGAGAGAGAGAGAGAGAGAGAGAGTAGAGAAGAAGTGGAAAAAACCACCTTCCTAATGAAGGGCTAGGGCCCTTTATATAGGCACTTGACTCGTACTCGATACCGAACAGATGTATAAAATATATAGGGCGGTATATCCGGGGTATGTTCCGTATCAAGTAGCCTCACAATCCGTGCCCTGACGTCGAGCTAACGAGGAAGGGATCAGGCTGAAAGATCCGAGTGCACAGTCCGTGACGAGCTCCTCGAGTCTGAGTTGAGCACATGGATGCGCTGTAACACCCATAATTTTTAGGATAATTTAAAGCATTTCAACTTTAATAAGGCAAAACTAACCATAATGATTATAGAAACGTGGAAGCTAAGGAAACAGTAACGGGCTGTTATACCACATCTAAACTATAACTTTAGATGCACAGGCTACCAACAATCTATCCAACTCAAACATCAAAGTATTCAAAGTCTAAACAGTCACGGCACACAGGCCAAACCAACTAAGCTAAGAGAAGGAAGTAAAGCTAGTCTAACGAAGGCTTCAACTAGCGCGCTCGGAGTCAAACTACTCTGTACCTGAAAAACATTAAGGCGTAGCAACCGTTAGCGAAAATGCTAAGTAACCCACTCCAACGCGTTAAGTACCATATAATATAGTTTATAAGGAAAATCACCTTTGAGACTTAGGAATACATAGATATAGTCTTAGCAACACTAGCTTAAAAACAAGAGATAGACACATCATTTGACTCATCAAGAGATTCACTCAATCATATCGACCAACGGTTGAACAATGGAACAAAACAAGAAGACAATGATACGGATTCAACAACAATCAACGGTAAGGTAATCAATAACAATCAAGAGATCCTCATTAAAGATAAGCTCATAAGCCAAAGAATTCAAGAATCACAATCAATGACCAAGTTCCGACCTTATGCCATGTTCCGACCTTTACACCGCTCCATCCTTATATCAGTTCCAACCTGTACCTCCGAGTCCAACCTGTACACCAGTCCAAACTTATACCACCATAAGTGAAGCATAACTTCTTGCCACCAATACAAATGGATCATAGCTCCTTGCCACTAATAAATTGCCACCGATACATATATATCAAAAATTCATTGCCATTGATACATTTTGAACAAAGCTCCTTGCCACCAATACAAATATCAATCATATCACACAGTCATCGACATAGAGGATCGAGACTCAATAATAGTCCAATCAATGAGTAATCACAATAGAGTACCACATTTGCACAAGCTTACAAAGGTAGATTCAATTGAAGGAATTCAAGAAAGAACACGAAGGAAACATTCCAAGGTATTGCCACCATAACGAAAGACTTTCAAACCAAAGATCACAACGATTAGTAAACACAAGTCACCAATCCTCATCAAGAATATGCAAGATCAATACAAAGAAAGCACATACTAGTACCAACGAATAGCGTAGCTAGCATGCAATTCAATCAAGATAATCAATAAGGCTCATACGAACAACATATACTTCATATCAATCCAACGAATCACAAAATTGGATCATAAACACGATTCAAGACTCACAAGTCCTATCACGGTATTTAAGACATCGTTCTAGACTTACGAAACATCAATCGGGACACACAAGTGCACAAGTCAACAAAACGGAGGCCAAAATACAACGTACCAGTGGGCGGTACGGTGGGTGGCCAACCACCCGCCACCCTACCCACCATGTACCAGTGGGTGGTACCATGGGTGGTCAACCACCCGTGGATCACCCCCCCCCCTCCCACCACCTTCACCCTTGTACCCAGTGGGTGGAACGATGGGTGGAACAGCGGGTGGCACTCTGTCCGTCGGTCTACCCGTGGGTACCGATTCTGAGAGAGAAATTCCCTTCGGGGGAAAATGCAAGAATGCTCAAGTTCAAGTCCAAAACACCTCAAAACTCATACCCAACAACAAAGGAACTTGAACACATAGAATAGCTCAAAAAGTAGCATCAAAGGATCCTACATACAAGCTCTAACATGTCATAAATACAAAAATATGCTCAAAATCACTCAATAGCATCAAGAATGTCAAGAAATCAACATAGCAAGTATAAAATAGATTTTGTAGGACATGAGTTACCTCTTGTAGCCTAAACCACACTTCCTCAACTCCTAAGCTTCTCCTTAAAGGTCTTCTTCCAAAAGATCTTCCAAACACAAACCAAAATCTCAACAAAACAAGCAAATCTTAGATAAAGGTGACGGAAAACTAGACAATAACACTAATAAAGCCTGGACTTACCTTTCCTAAGGTTGTAGAGGTGGAAAGGTGGAATCTTGGAGGTTTTCCTTTGCAAAGTTGGGAGGGTTTTAGGTTAGCTTGGAGAGAAAGCTAAGGTGTAGAGAGAAGAGTGTTTCTTGTCTAAGTGAGGAAGGCTAAGGTGGTAGTAGTATGAAATGTCTTGGATGCCAAGTTAGAATTGTGAAAAGACTAAAATAACCTCCCTTTCCACAAACTAGTTAGGAGGAAGTTAAAGGTTAGGGTACAAGTCATAAAGCACAAAGTCTTTCCATTGACTAATTTAGAAAGGCTAAGGGACTTAGTCAAATTAGGTCCCTCGACTATTCTCAAAAAAATTAGGAAGGAAATTGTAAGGCTAAAAATAGGAATTAATTGGATGATTAATTCGGTTAAAAGGAAAATTTTCCGGGGTGTCACAATTTACACCAGTTGCCTCATTAAAAACCTTAAACTAATATAAACCCATTGAAAAAAAAAAAACTTAACTAAGTAAAAAGAGTACAACTGCAAGTGCAATCCTTTGAACTACCGATGAATGGAATTAGTTGTGATCTAGAGATCCAATTTTAACCTTCCTATACGTTCCATGCTCCTAGTCGGATCAGGGTCAGGTGTTCGGGTCAGTGTCAAATAGTCAGTGCTTTGGACCTATAAGGGCCATTCACTCACAAGCCAAGGAGGCCATTTTTCCTCTTCTCTATTCTCTCACTCTCTCTCTCTAAACATTGAATAATAAAGGCCTTTTAACATAAGAGCTCAAATCCTCTCCTCAACACTTGCTCCTAAGATAATTTATGCAAGGCTAATCAAAGCCATTTCTTTGCCCGATTTCCATACATCTTCGATACACCATCAATATAAATTTGTTTTATCGACTTATTCTCACCTATAGAGCTTGTATACCCAAATTTATCGACTTATTCTCACCTATAGAGCTTGTATACTGGAAATAGTGGTCTTCCCCCTTAGCTTGATCAAACAACTTTGGTCCCCGTCTAATCCTTTTGGTGTGTGTGCGCTTAACACTGATGCCTTAGAGTCCAATACGCAATAGTATAGTCAATTGTTGCAACCTATGAAACCAAAAATGAAATACATAGGTAAATGATAGGATACAGATGGATAGTTGGTCAAACTGTTAATTTGATAATTATAAGATTACAAGTTTGACTCTCAAATAGAAATGTGAGTTTACCCGTGCATATCATCTGAGGGTGGATTTCAATTCACTTGTCACTTAAAAAGTAAAGAAAAAAATTCACAAATTCATAAGGCGATGATGGGGTCTTAAGTTGGGGGTTAATCTCAAAAAAGGGAAAGAAGAAAAAGAAAAAATTAGTTAGCACTTTCGACTATACTAATCCAAGCCATTTAATGATTCATAATAAAGAAATCTTGAATAAGTACGGATGATCTATGGCTTATGATTCATATTAAAAAATTGTTGGACTCTAGTGTTGATTGATGATATATAGGTTAATTTATCAACTGGCATGGGTTTGCAGTAGTGATGCACGTTAGACGCCATTGAGACCACAATCCGACAAAACTTCACCATTGCAGATTAAGGAGCCGTCAATATAAAAACTGCTTCTGCATAAACCCACGTTTGCTAAAACCTTATTCTCTTCAAACTTTTCTTCATTTGGAAAGTACCTGGAAACTACAATATCCATTATACTCAGAATTCTTTATTGCATTAATCACAGAAGCCTTCAATCTTTTCACCAGCGTTCATGAACCTTAAACCGTATAAATACCCCATTCACCCTTTTCGGCTCTCCACCTCAACGCTCTCTGTTTTCCTTCTTCTTCTTCTTCTTCTCTGCTTGCTTTTCACGAGCCCTTTAAAAGTACTCAAAATGATGTTCGGTGATAACAATGCTGATTTTGCTCTTCTTGAATCTATTCAACGGTACTTGCTCGACGATTTTGATGCTCCGGTTTTGGGGTTGGGGGAGAATTGGGGGGAATGGACTGTGCCTTCACCTGCAGAGTACAATTCACCGGACTCCGGCGACTTTAGTGGAAGCTCCGGGTGGTTGTCGTGGGTCGACGAGGAGGAGACACCCTCACCCGTGGTCAAGAAAGAGCCCGAAACAATGGGTTTCCATGAGTTTCCGGCGATTTTGGATTTCACGGCGGTGCCTCCTCCGAAAGTGGAGGTGTCGCCGGCGCCACCACTAGTTGAGAAGCGCTACAGGGGAGTGAGGAGGCGGCCCTGGGGAAAGTTCGCGGCGGAGATAAGGGACCCAGCCAAGAACGGCGCCCGGGTGTGGCTGGGGACATACGAGACGGCGGAGGACGCGGCGGTGGCCTACGACAGGGCGGCGTTCCGCCTGCGAGGAGCTCGTGCCTTGCTGAATTTCCCGCTTAGAATCAACTCCGGCGAACCAGAGCCGGTTAGAATCACAACCAAGAAGAGACTGGCGGCTTCAACGGATTATTGCTCCTCCACCTCGTCTAAGAGGATGAAGAAGGCAGCTCAATCAGTTGAACAAATTAGTTCTTGCTCTTTCCAGATTTGAAAAAAGAAAAGAAAAGAAGAATTAATTGAATTGTTTGTTTGTTAGTTTCTTGTAGCTTAGTTGATTTGTAGTTGTTGAATGAACTAATCCAAAATGGCTAAATTGGTTTCTTCGCAATACAAATTAAATTGAAGTACTCTCATTCTTGCTTTAATACGGAGTATTATTCTTGTTTTAAAAACTTGTTCTCCTTAAACTAAGTACAGTACTATTAAATTATAGACCAATGAATAATACTCCATAAATAAATACATTATCTAACATTGTTTATGATAAGATTTGAAATCTGAACTTTAAATCATGGGTGTAGGGCCCGCCCGACCCATCCATCAAGAGAACATAATTAGCACTCTCAGTTGTGTAATTTGAGTTTGGAAAGTAAAACCGAAATTTGTTTCTTTTAATGGGAAACTCCAGCACATGAGTTACTCGGTTGTGGTGAAATTTATATAAGGTTAAGTTTTGAAATGATCCTCAAATTGAATGTGTTATATGTGCCCTCATACTCAGAATGTTAAATAATGGTCTTTTTTTTTTAATGTGAAACTTGGGTTGAAGCCAAGCATGCTAAAAAAACATTTTTTTTCCACAAAAAACTAAAATAACTTCAAGTCTTTTAGAATTGATTCACCCTGACTTAGCATATTTTAAAAGAATCAAAAGCAGTTTTCAAAAAAAAAAAAAAACAAAACAAAAAAGAACCAAAAGCGAAGGCGGTAAACATTATTATATTACCTTTAACGATGATTTTTCAAAATATTCAAACTCTATCTTTTGAGGACCACATATGAAGTTGAACAAAAAAAAAAAAAAAAAAAAAAAATTAAAGCAAAAGTAAAAAAATCAACTTGGTGGTTCAGCACCTCATCCATTCGACATGAGGTTGGGGGTTCGATTCCCACCCATGTGAATGGAGCAAACCATTTAGCTGAGGTTCAAAATATGAAACACGTGATGATGGATAGCCGAAAGAAAACGTAGAACTCCTCATGAATGTTAACTACTTATTAGTTCATGATTCTCCTGACAATTTAAGGATGCTATGTGATAGATACCCCCAAAATAGCCAGCCGGATTCATCTTCTAGCCCCTACTCGTCATGTAAAGCGTCCTATGGCAGCACCTCTAGCCCCTACTCGTCATGTAAAGCGTCCTATGACAGCAACCCCATTATCATCCTCCAGCCGCTCTAGCCCCCACTCGTCATGTAAGGCGTCCTATGGCAGCAACCCCATTCATCTTCTAGCCCCCACTTGTCATGTATCCTCTAGCCACTCTAGCCCCCACTCGTCATGTAAGGCGTCCTATGGCAGCAACCCCATTCATCTTCTAGCCCCCACTTGTCATGTAAGGCGTCCCCATTATCATCCTCTAGCTGCTCTAGCCCCCACTCGTCATGTAAGGCGTCTTATGGCAGCAACCCCATTCATCCTCTAGCCCCCACTTGTCATGTAAGGCGTCCTATGGCAGCAACCTGCCAGCCTCGACAGACAGCCAGGCCAGTGTGTATTCGACTGAGTACCCTACGGGATTCGAACCTTTCATCCTCTGGTGACCCGCCAGCCCCAGGTGGGGCTTGGTCCACACAGGTAGAGTGACCAGCCCCGACAGACAGCCAGTGTGTCTCCGACTGAGTACCCTGCGGGATTCGAATGGACGACCAGGCTTCGGGGGCGGAGCGTCCCTGCCCGATTGCGGGAGCCCCTAAAAGGCACCTCCGGATTCTGCAAAGGCAATCTTCGTGCATTTAAGCAACTACCTTAATTAGTTTAGACAGTTATGGTAGCAAGTAGGCAACTGCATCAGCCCTATCCCACCTCTAAACTTGGTTTTATGCCATCACTACTTACCTTGTAAGAACTCCATACTCATGTATAAATATCATCATGGGATCACTATGTAGGGGATCGGCATTTTGAGGGCAAAACCCTAGAGAAATAATATCACATTATTTTATCTCTTTTTAAGAACTTTATCTCTCGTTTTTATTATCTCGCGCACTTACAAAATCTAGCACATCTTTTCGGTGGTGTTGGCCTGCCGAGCGGCCATCGAGACTGTAAAAACCAACACTATGCTTATTAGTTTATGATTCTCACCGAAAGAAAATGTAGAACTCCTGATGAATGCTATGCTTATATGCTTATTAGTTTATGATTTTCGCCGAAAGAAAACATAGAACTCCTGATGAATATAATGCTATGCTTATTAGTTCATGATTCTCTTGACAATTTAAGGATGCTATGCTTATTAGTTCATGATTCTCCTGACAATTTAAGGATGCTATGCTTATTAGTCATGATTCTCATGACAATTTGAGGATAGCCGAAAGAAAACGTAGAACTCCTGATGAATGCTATGCTTATTAGTCATGATTCTCCTGACAATTTTTTTTTTTTTTTTTGGGGGGGGGGGGGGGAGGGGGGGGGGGGGCATTATAACAGCCAATCACATTCTTAAAGAGTGTTGCCTAAAGGTTTTGAGAAACCCTCTTACGAACTATGGAAAGTATACGCCCCATTTTTAAATTATTTTTGTGAGGGTGTTTAGCTAAAGTGGGCTTACCACATTATAAGAAGTCTAATATTAGTCCAAAAATTTTAGATGTTGTGTTTGTTGGATATGCTCAAAATAGTGTTGCTTACGTTTTATGCGCTTAGATCATCATGCAATATGTGAATATAGATATGCTTAATTTTTTAGCAAATTTTTCCTTGGAAGTATGTTACTACTTGCTCTAATGTGCCTCTTGCATGATCTAGCATCTTCATCTAGGCCCCTATCTAAATCAGGGATAAAACCACATAGGAGAAGTAAGAGGTGTAGAACATAAACGAGCATTGGCTCAAATTTTATTACCTAGTTAGCAGAACTAGATAATCTTGATAAGATTAATGATAATGTTGTCTATATTCACATATTCGAAGAAAAGCCAAAAACTTTTAAAGATGTCATGAACTATGTTGACTTCAATTTCTTGAAAGAAGCCATATAGTGAATTACACTTAATTAAGTCTAATCATACATGAGAACTAGTAGATTTACCTAAAGTTTGTAAAGTAATAGGTTGTAAATGAATCTTTAAAAGAAAGATGAAAATAGACAGAACAACTGAAAGGTTTAAAGCTTGGTTGGTAGCCAAAGGCTATACACAAAAGTCTGGAGAAGATTTTTTATATACTTACTCTCTAGTAACTAATTAAAATAACCAGATTCGTGTGTTGTTTGCTATAGAATCTATGCATAGGTTACTAGTACCCCAAATGGATGTAAAAAAACGCAATCATGAATGATGATTTGGATGAAGGTATCTATATGGAGCAACCCTAAGATGGGTAACTCTTGGACAAGAGCATTATGTATGTAGACTCTTGGACAATCATGTCATGATTCTCTTAACAATTTGAGGATAGCCAATAACTTTTTTTTTTTTTTCATTTTTCCGTCAAAGGGTTGTGGTGGACGGAAAAGTAGTCAAACATTTTGACCACTATATAATGGTGGTCGGAAAAAGTGTTCTTTTATGACATCCACCAAAGGTGGTCGAAAATACCTTTATATATATACCTCCCCTGTGCATTTTCAAACCATTCTTCTCTGGTTTTTTACCCCTTTCTACTATTTTTTTCGTTATTGTAGGTATTTTTTTCACTAAATCATTCACAATAGTGTTAAAATTGAGTTGTACTACATCATATCAAGCTAATGTATGTGTATATATTCTTAGAACTACCATTTCATAAGTCATTTTTAGATCTAGCTTTGATTTTTATTTATTTATTTTTGTATATATTCTTGTGAATACTTATTTATATTAGAGTTAATTTCATTTTTAGTCCTAGATTTATAGGTGACAATCCACTTTTAGTCCCTTTTTATCAGAACATCCCCTTTTGGTCCTAGTATTATTGTGACATGACCAATTTTGGTCCTCTATGAACAAAATCGTTGAAATTTTGTTAAATAGAATGACATTTTTATCTTTTTAACATAAGAGCGTTGACCCGTTATATTTTTTATGTTTAGTTTTTTTTGAAAAAATTCATAAATGAAGAGCAAAATGTCCTTGTATTTAACGAAATTTCAATGACTTTTTTGATACAGGACTAAAATTGGTTATGTCACAATAATACTAGGACCAAAAAGGGGTGTTCTAATAAAAAAAAAAGACTAAAAGTGGACTGCTACCTATAAATGTAGGACAAAAATTGGAATTAACTCTTTAGATTATTCATTTTATGATTGAACAATGTATAGTGTGTATATATGTATGTGTGTGTGTTTGTATATAATTATTTGTATATTTATGTTTTTTTAACCCTATATTTTTTTTAACCCTACATTTTTTAACCCTACATTTTATATGTGTCTATTTATTAGTATGTATTATTTGTAATATATTTATATATGTATTTGTATTGTATATACTTTTGCAGTTTTTTTATATGGCTAATATACATAAACATTGGAAATGGATATATAAATGATTGTTATCAGAAAAATGGGGGTACACTAATGAGTTCTTAGTGGGTGTTGATGAATTTATAAATTATGCAAGCACACATCTTGTATACAAGGCTTCAATAAAGATTTGGTGTCCATGTAGTAAGTATACGAATAGAGTACACTTGTCTACAGATATGTTCGGGGCAGAATTTTGAACTGAATTACTAGGTTTGAACGTGTCACGATGAGCTTACCCCCTCAATACAACTACATATGAATGAGGGCCCTAATGAAAACAATCGGTATGAACAAATGGTTTTATACTGTAAGTAGTTTTAATTTTTTGCATGTCAAAAACCAAGTTTTGTAAGTAATTATCGGGACCCATCAGACATTCTGAAATATTTTGATCCATTGCTAGTTGCGGTATATTAAAAGTTGTCTTGATATTCTTCATCATCAATGTATATGCCAACTCTATTTCTTCACCG